AGTAGCCTTGGAGAGGGCAGCCAAAAATGAAAAGAAACCTGTTTGCACATCACCACCTGAATTCCAGAAGCAGCATTCACTGCATGTGAAGCAGGCTGGAAACTCCAGACCTGGGTTGAATACCTCTGCCAACAAGTACCTTCTTTCATCCATGTTTTGCTTGAAATTTGTAGCTTGACACGAGGGTTTGTGTAGCTTGACAAATGCACATTAAGAGCACACAACACCTGTGGGGGGTGTACAACCTCCTGGAACTTTTCCTTCCCTATTTCCTGACTCCTGGGGCTACACATGCACAGCACAACATTGAAGAGTCCAAGTCCAGTTATCAGAGTCACAACGTTTCCTTTCAAAAACATTGTTTTTACTAGGTTTTCCTCCTTTTACACATGACAAAAATGATGCAATGACCATTCACGGCATCTTGTTTGATGGTATTATTTATAAATAACCCAACTTTTCTCGTTTGGGGGTCTGTGGTATTAATGAATAGAGAGACACATGAGGTTATGCTGCATTAGCATTAGAAATATGTGCTAAATACACAAGGCACTGTGTTATACTGTGGTACTGTGCTTACTGTAAAACCACTGCTGGTGGCAAAATACAAACCCTCCTGTAAGGTAAACAACAGAGGGAGCACAGCCAGAGGCCAGCAAGAAAAATAAATTCCACTGTGCTTTGAGAAAAGCTGGGGTTGAGGAAGGAAGAAGGCAGGAGAGACTTTCTGAGTCAGGAGGATACACTCAGCCTTACAGGGGATTTCTAAAATCTGAAAAGTTCCTGCAGCAGCAGAGAAATGCAGAGGGGGACAGACCTCACCAGGGCTGGGTTAAGGAAGGGGTGGGAGAACAACACCAGGGTTAGTAATAATTTTTTTTTCCCCACAATGGGCTGTCAAAGTCACCATCCTCAAATGTGACAGACAGGTGCACCTGATGGGTGCCAAAGATTGCAGGAGTCTAAATGAGTAGTGAGGTACCAACAAAACAACCCCAAACAATAAACAAGGACATTTATTCTGTTAACAGAACTAATTATGGGGAGTTTTAGTCTTTTAGACATTGCCATCCAACAGGACTTTAACCACGATTTTAAAGTTCATGTCTGTTAGCTGAGGTGTTTGATCTGAAAACTCTCCTGCAATCACTGCACAAGAAGTCTTTCTCCAGATCTCTTGCATTTCTCAGATCCACCTGGCTGAAAACCACCATTAGACCAAAGTTTCTTAATGCATTTTTATACAGCCTTGTTTTAGTAACCTCTCTTGACAAAAAAAAAAAAAAAAAAAAAAAAATCAACTAAAATTCTGTATGGAAAAAGAGGTTGTGTCCCTCTGTACATAAAAGCAAACAACAGACCAGGCTGGCTTAAGTTTGCCTGTAAAATATTATTGCTCCATCTCAGCTGATTTACCTGCTTCTAAAACCAAGAAACACCTCCATGCAAATATTACCTTCTAGAGCTGTGACATATCCCAATAAAGAAGTACTGAAAATAGCTTTTTGCATCACTAGAACTTTTTACATCACTGCAAATACAACTCAAATTCTAGAAATTAATGTCCAGATAATTCTCTACAAACTACAATATTCTGGAACAAATATACTCAGAAAAACAGGATAGTTCTGGACAAAAGAAAGGTTTGAGAGATGACCAGACAAGTCTCATAGGCCAAAACTCTGTTAAAAATGTCACAGTAAGCATAGTGCCAGAATGTGATGTGATCAAACTGTGACATAGTCTGTGGATCACAGGCTTCAAAGTTTTCCCTACAAAAGTAGGGTTTTTTCCTGTATTTTTTAAATCATGGTAATTTGATTAATTCATCAATTAATGAATTATTGTGCCTCAAAACCAAACCAACTGCTGCCACTTTCCAATATGTTTCTCAGGCTTCTTGACAGCTCTAAATATATTTGAAACAAACTTGAATTTTTCAAACAATGGAACCATGAGAACCAAGAGTGCTTTGCACAGCAGAAATGCTGGGGGATTTCAGCTTTTTGACCAGGAGCCACTCTGAAATCTGGCATCAGCCTTTAAAGCCACACTCATGACACATTTGAGCCTCTTACTGGGAATATGACTGGAAGCACAGCACACCCCCAAGCGAGAACAGGTCAGATTTGCTTATTTATATTGAAGGAGAGCAAATGAATCAATCTATTTCCACAGCACTAGCAGATTCAGGCAGACTCAGTCTGCACAGCAGCTCCCTAACTGCTTTGACACTGAGCTTGCTGTGAGCAAAGCACAGCTCTGTGGTGTCTGTTCCATCTCTGAGGGCTTAGCCACATAGCTACAGGCAGAATAGATAGGCAACACCCGGTGCAAATCACAATCTGAAGTGAAGAAAGTTGCCTAAAACCACCTTGGGAGCTGCTGGGTAGAGTGTTACACCTTGTTTTTTTTCTACTAAACCATCACGATGCAAACATAAAACTTTTACAGCCTGGATTCATCTTACCAGTTTTGGGCTTCCAAGTAATTTTGAGGTGCAGTTTATTCCAGGAGAGAGCTCAGACAAGCTATATCCACCAGCACCTGATTTATTTCATCAACTCTAATAGGAGTCAAGGGTGCTCAGCTGAGACACGGACACCTGTGTTGTCAGTGGCTGGTTTCAGTCAGGGGTCCAGCAGTTCTCTCAAGCCCTGCAATTACTCTCTGGCTGCATGTCTCAAAAAAAACCCCAAACAAACAAACAAAAAAACACCCCAAAAAAACAACAAAAAAAAAAGGCAGTGCTAAAAGGAAAATGATACTAATAAATCCCAAAGAAAAACAATGTTTTTGTGATGCACCATAGGATTAATGTGAGCAGACTGGAACTCGCATCTTCAGGGCTCATAATTTACAAGACGACCAGATTCTTCAGATTTTTCTCTTCCCTTGAAGGAGAAGCCATGTCTGTGATTACATCAAAAATGCTTTAAAAGTCCAGCTGTTTTACACTCCTCATTAAAATTCCCCCAGCTACCACACATTCCAAAGCACAGGAGCAGACACACATTTAGTAAGATTTATTTATATGGATCTGACCTAAATCGGTGCTACTCATCCAAGATCAAATTCCTTTCCAACGTGAGCAGCCAAAGCAAGTTAAACTTGCAACATAAAGTGCTGCCAGAGTCCTATTTTGAGAAACCAAGTATCATTTAAGACTCATGCTGCAAAAGTCTATTCCTTGAGATTTGTTCTCCCATTTCATAGGGAAGATCTGTATGGACTACCCCCTCCTGCCTCCTGAGGACATTTCACAGATATCCTGCAGTCATGGCTGGGTGGGCACTTTCTCAGGTTCTGTGGAAAAATTCTCAGCAGCCACTTGTCAAGCAGGGCCAGATGGTTGAAGGCATATGAGCATGGCAAAGCCTTAGCAAGTAAGGAGCTAAAATCAGAGTGCTTACTCAGAGAGCCACCCCTCCTCCACAGCACCCTCCTCCAAAGAAACAGAACAGAAGTTCCTAAACAACCTCGAGCTTGGAGTACTACACAGGGAATCCCAGCCTAGCATTGAACACTGAAATAACTCATTGAAGGTGCAGCTCTAACACCAAACTAGTTTCCTGCTTTTTCTGCATTCCCTGAGGGAATTGCTGCTGCCAGGAGGACGTGTGGAAGGCACAGATAAGACATTCCACCAAGGGAGTTTGACATATCTCACTCTGCTGTGCTGGTATAGCCTCAGGATCACAAAGGGAGACTCCAGCTCCTTCAACAGCCTGGAACACCATCCAGAAGGGGTATTTACAGCCTTTAAGAAATCTAATCTTCATGGCCTGAAACCCCACAGCAAGCTTGCTTGCCATCTGCCCAAGTAAATTGGCCATTTGTCCCCATTAGAGACAGCTGGGCTGCTAAAGCAATTAAGGTGACACAAGGAGGGAGTGACATTTTTGGTTTGGGAAGAGGCTGTTTGCAGCACTGACAGCACTGAAACATTCCTGACTGTGAAGAGGTGACATTCTTAAGTGAATAATGAAAACAGGCATTCATGAAACACGAGCTCTTCCAGAAGTTCAAGTTAAAGCAATGTGTTTCCTAAAAAGATATTTGTTCCTATTGAAGAGATTTACACCAAATGAAAGAATTGTGTCTCTGACAATGCAAAGCATTCATAATCACTGGCTAGACTTTTACAGAGTACATATTTGTCTTTTGATACAGGACATCTGTGAGCTAGCAACAGTAATAAATCTGAATGTTAGCACAGATAGTTTTCCACATTTTAGGTCAAATGCTATCAAATTTAGCTTATCAGCTTATTAAGATAAAACAAGCTGCTTTGTCATTAGTTTTCTGATTAGTTGCTTGGTTCCAAAACCTGGGACAGTAAATAGCGTTGTTGGGTTTTATTTTTCTATAGTCTAAATGCTTAATGCCCACTGGTTATCCTTATAAATCATAAACAGGGAAATCACTGCTTGATCCCTTGCTAGAAGAGGGGAATGTGATGATTTCAGCATGTTTAAAACACACATTCCTAAAATACCTAACTGGTCTGTAATTTTTTCACAGTATAAGGCCTGAGCTTAGTGGTCAGGTTCCTTGATCTGCAACCATACTGGTTTTGATCAACCAGCCACGCAGTGACAGTCTGTTGAGCTGGATACCTTGAGAGTTGTGGTGTTGTCTTCCAAAGGTAGCAGCCTTTCCTGGGAACAAACAGGAAAAATGGGCTACAGCTTTGCAGAGCTCTCTGCCACAACAAACTGTCCTTTGCTGGGTGCAGACTGCAGCATCCACCAGGCTTTTGCAGAACTAACCCATGGAAAAGTAAAGGTTGTGCCCTATGGAGAGAGGTAAGTGTTGCTGTTTTAGAAAAGAGGACTTAAGTGTGCTCCAGGATGGCTGGAAGAGCTCCAGCAAAGAAAATTTAGTCAAACTGCAAGTCAAATGTCTGCTTTCATGCTGGGAGATCTGTGAGGAAGATTGAAAAAAAAAAAAAAATTACGTTCTTTTAATACATTTCACAACATGTGTTCTTATTTTAGAGTCGACATACCGTCACCAAGCTACCATTGATGACGAGGTGGTTTCCATGGAGATACTAGACACAGCTGGCCAGGTGTGTGGGTGCATGTGCTGCTGCTACCCAGTGCCTTGGCTGCGGTATGCAGGTGGGGAGGAAATCGTGGTGGTGGCAGCAGTGCAGGGGGTAGCAGCAGTGCCTACTCTGGGGACACAGATTTGCTTCTGGGCAGAACCCCCTCTCTCCTTCCCCATTCTGGATCCACACCCTTCTGTGAGGGATCCTGCTTGGAAGAACAAACAAGTCAAGGAGCTTACTCTGGGGATAAAATTATTTTGTTGTCACACTTTTTTTATTCAGGGCCAGCCCAACAAGTAGGCACAGAGTCATGGTCTCTTTCTACAGTCAAGTGATGAGGCTTGACAACTGCAGACAATAATTCTCACTAGAGTGAAGAGCAGATTTGTCATTGTCAGGTCTCCCTTTTAAAACACAGCAGGTGCAGGTGCTGCACAGGCCTGGGCAGGTCATGGCACTGGGTGGAATAGATCTCCTATGCCACGTGATCAGAAAGGTGATGTGAGTAAAGTATGAAGTAAAGCAGATGCACACAGCTGTGTAGGACCAGCACCTCTCTGAAGACCTGCTGTCTTCTTCATAAATCAAATTCCTAAGGCATTTTTCTGTCTTTTTGAACAGGAGGATGCCATTCAGAAAGAAGGACACGTGCGATGGGGCGAGGGCTTCGTGCTGGTTTACGACATCACGGACAGAGGCAGCTTTGAGGAAATGCTGCCGCTTAAGAACTTGTTGGATGAAGTCAAAAAGCCCAAAAATGTCACCCTGATCCTGGTGGGGAACAAAGCAGACTTGGATCACTCCAGGCAAGTCAGCACCGAGGAAGGTGAAAAGCTGGCCACGGAACTTGCGTGTGCTTTTTACGAGTGCTCTGCTTGCACGGGAGAGGGCAACATTATGGAGGCCTTCTACGAGCTCTGCCGGGAGGTGCGGCGCCGCAAGATGGTCCAGGGCAAGACTCGGAGGCGAAGCTCCACCACCCATGTCAAGCAGGCCATTAATAAGATGCTCACCAAAATCAGCAGCTAAAAAAGAGCTGTCCTAAGCCAGAGAAGCAGAAATGGTCAAATCTTTGCAATGAAGAAAAAAAACCCCAAAAAGACAAACACCACCGCTTTTTTTGAGTAACGCGGAATCGTACTATTTTCCTTTTTGAAATGTATTTAGCCACACTGCTTTTGACTAATGTGGGAAAAAAAAAAAAGAAAAAAAACAAACACCAAATGAACTCCAAATGACTAGACAATTGTGGGGATTGGTAAGCAAGAGAGAATCTTCTGCTTCTACGTGACTGGCTCCAATCCCCTGCAAGTCAGTAGTGCCTAAACATCACTTCCAGTCAGGCAGGTGCTCAGTAGCCATTGGAGAGTAAGATTCAGCCCTCAGTCCATCAACAACCGTCACAACTGGTGTCATCCAGGACTGAATATGTGTAGAGGCTGCTGTGTTGAAACAGAAAGTTCACCTGACACCTTCACCAGCTCTGAGTTGGCTCATTGTATGCTTTCACTCCTTCCATGTTATTTTTGTCAAATCCATGAGTGTTGATGTTCTTAGCAAGGTATGTAAAAATATATAGGAAAGGTCAATTTCCTGGAGCATTTAGCCAGCTAGACACACATTTCAAGAGAGCTCAAGTTCAGCTGCTTTTCCAGCTCCTCTGAAACTGCAGAGTTTTCCAAAAATAATCATCTAGTCAAGCAGCATTTCACCATTTCCCCCCCAAAGCATTGTACTTGGGGAAATGGGAGTATGTGTGCTGGGAAATCAAACTGGAAAAAAAAAAAAAAAAAAAAGAACCATATTACTATTGATTTAGCTATGGGTAGTTTGTAGATTTTTTTTGGTCTTTTTTTTTTTTTTTTATTCAATTAGTTCCTCCTAGTTTATTTTATACCAAAGAAGAACTGAATCCTTGGGAAGACAAGTATTTAAAGTTTAAGCCCAAATCAGATCTGAATGACCTCTACCTATCAAAAGTCCATAATTTTCAGCTGTTTAAACTCCCAGATGCTGCTTGGAGCACTCTGGGGCTCAAAGCAGTGCAGGTTTTTTGTGACTTTTGTCTGGCACATTGAGGCGGAAATTAATTTTATCAGATTTTTGTGCCTGGAATAAAAGGTGTCCAGTGCTTTCATTCTCCCTCATCATCTCATTTAAGCCAGCTGCCAAGTTTTGCCTCCTGTCTAGTTGGTTTGTTAACTGCTAAAAGATGCAAGACTGGAAGCTTTTCATCCAGATTGTGCTGGTCTCCCACCAGTGGTGTAGCATCCCTTTGGGCAGCTCAGACTGTCAATGTGTAGAACCACAGCCAAGGGCTGGGATGACAAATTAGCAATGTTCTCCTTTGAGGAACAGCCCCCTTGGAGCATTTGCTTACAGCTTTATTCTCCACTTTGTATGTGGTAATTTGTGAGGAAGTAATTCCAAAAGCCTATCAAAAGCAAATTGCCACAGATGTAGGAAAGTGAGTAAATCTAACTGGCTAGCACTTTGTAGAGCTATAGGTAACCATACAGGTGGTGGAACATATCGAAGAGGCAGATCTGTATATCCATGTGAACAGAGAAAAGTTCCAAATTACAACTTCTATTAAAAGTATTCACTTAAAGATGTTTTACCAAAGCAAATTTTTTAAACTTTCACTTTTACCCAACCAGCAAAGAACATCACATTCAGATGTATATTTTATTTGTGCTGTTGTTTGTTTTCTCTGCTTCTATATTCTAGGTGGTAAAAACTCATTTCACTGTCCTGGAATCAATATCTATATTTTGGTCCTCATGTTCACATGTGTTGCTGTACATCATCTGGACACACTGCAGTGGAAACTCCACTGTGTGCTTCGGGGCAGGGGGTTCTTGCAACAGGCCTCTGTGACACACTTGTTCCCAAACTACTCATCATATCATTGACTTTTTTTAAAGAAATAAAAAATAAAAGAAAAAAAGAAAGAAAAATAGGTTTTGCCATTTTTAGTATTGTAGAATGAACACAGGTGTAAAAGAGCAAGCTAGTGCCTGTTCACAAACCAGAATTCTTTAGCTGAGTGACTGAACTTGCCAGCAATTTAGTTACCTTTGGAGCCAGAGTGAGCATTTGCAAGCTGAAGCACTGAGGTTCTGTTATCTTTCCAATCATGAAGTAAACAAAATCCTTACCTGCAATCCCATGGCAACGTAGTCATGTCTTTACTTTGGTATGCTAAGCAATTGGTTCATCCCTCCTAGAAAACCTCAACAGTTCTTTCATCTGAAAATCCTTTCTAGGGGTTCAGGTTGGAGCTGCATTTAAAATACAGAAAGTTTATAAATGAATGACAAGAGAAAATAATTAACCATATTCATAGGAGAAGAATTGAAAGGAAGGAGAGGCTAAGTTACGGCCCTCATACTTTCCAAAATATTTCCAGCAAATTGTATCTTCTTTTATAACATCTGTGTGGATAAATTATAAAATCTTGGTGAAAATAAAATGTTCCACTGTGCAAACATCCCTTATTACATAAAAAACCTAGAATAAAAATAGCAACATTCCTTTGCAAAGACTGAATTTGAAAACTGCCAAGCAAGATAAATACTTGGTCAAAAAGGAGGCTGCCTCCAAAACTAACACAAACTTCTTTAATTAATTGCTCATTAATTTGTTTCCCTCTAAGCCATTTTTGCTGACATGCATTACATAGCATTAAATGCAACTTGTTTTACTACTGCTCACAATGTTGCAACCTATTACTGGGTATGTTATAAATCTGTCATATTCCCATAATGCGCAGATTGAGCCCAAAATTGCCCAAGCATTGAAAAGGCTGAGTGCAGCATGAACCCACATTCTGTAGCCTTTCTGCAGCAGACATCAACAGATTCAATTCTAGTTCTCCTGCTGCTGTTTAAGTGTGTGTATGTGACACTAACATTGAATTTCTCTCCTCTGCCCACTGCCGTTTCTGCGGAGAGAGGATGGGAAAGACGATAAAAATGGGGAGGAAAGGTGAAAGGGATACTTGTTACCTTCAACAAGTTGATTGTCATTTATGAAGTTTTTTTAATACTTATCTTCAATTGATGAAGAGTTAGTCATGCCCATGCTGCAAGACCTGGATCAGGACCCAAAACTTCCCTAGAACTTTGAGAATCTTTATATCTGGGGGTTTGGTGCAACTACAGATGGAAGTGAGGATCAGCCTCTGGGTTTGCACCTGGATCCAGACAGTTTGTCCCCAACCTGGGGATAGTTGGATCTGGCAGTTTGCTACAAGGCTAGTTGATTTTTATATATATAATGATCTGTATGCATTTTTACATTAAAAATATGAAAGCTTGTGCTTGTAGATAATATATTAAAAAACTAAATAAAAAAGAAAAAGGAAATATAGTCTTTTCTGTACTGAACTCTCACGTATTGATCTTCCATTAGATGTCTCCAGTGTTCCTTCCAGCTATTAAGGGGCCAGTTCCAAAAGCCCAGATTTGGTTCTTACTTAACCTTTATCTAAGGAAAACAAACAGTGAATTTTACCAGAATAAGCACTGTAAAATTTGGATCATTTTACTTGAACTTATTTGGCTGTTAGTCCTGGAATAGAGAAGTCAAACAGCATCTACAGTGAGGCACAGCTCCAAATGTCCTTGCTAACTATTACAAGGCTGATGAAAAAAAGTTACAGGGTAATTACCTAACCTCAGTGAAACCCACCAAAAGCTGTCCTGCCAACTAAATAACACAGACCTTGATCTCAAGCTTCTGAGGTGAAATCCTGGGATAAGAAGCCTGGGAGATTTATGGTGGTGGTTTGGACAGAGGCAACTTTTCACCTGCTGCCAACTACACCCATGTTCAAAGGATAATGCAGTGTTAAATCTGAAGAGGAGGTACATAATATGTACCTTATGAAAGGTACAATATATGAGTGGTAAATAATCAGAGTGTGGGTATTAAGCTGTAGCAGAGGAAGCTTCAGCACTGAAGAGGGGAGCTGTAATCCATTCTTTTCCCCCCAAACCTGTGCCAACCAAGTAACCCAAAGTGTGGTGAACAGGAGTTGGGGGATAAGAATGTCACAACAAGCAGAGCACTGCATAAAACCTGGGTGCAGAATCTATGCTGGGAGGTGAAACCTCCCAACACCAGTCACTGTCTGCCTCTGGAGCACTGCAAAGCAGCCTTGGGTTCTGTCAAGCCACACTATAACTTGCTCCAGTCAAAATAATTTCTCCTGCAAAGTAGCTGCAGTCATAAAGGCTTTGCATGAACAGTCTTGGGGTTCCTTTTATCTTTTTCTTTAATGGCTCAATACATATGCAAATCTTAAGTAGAAAAAGAAAAAGAGGCTTTAATTAAAAGAGGCTTCTTGGCATTTTGATGTATCTGCCTTTATGCTCTTTGCAAAATTAAACCTATAATGAAAACAGTGTCATCTTAGAAACTCTGGTGTTATGCATTTTATTTCCTCTACAGATGCCAGGCACTAATTACCTCAGGCTATGAAAATTCAAAGCAGCAGCTTGTCCAGTGCTGTGCAAGGCTTCTAGGAGGTGCTAATGGTGTGAGGCCAGCTCAGCCTGGTTTCTGCAAGCACCATTGCCCATGGGGAAGGCTGTTAATGCAGCTGGCACTGGCAGATTCCTGGGGCAGGACCCTGCTGGCCCTGGTGGGGTTTGTACGGGATGGGTCAAGCCCCTGGTCCCCAACTTGTGGAGAACACACCCCAATGGCCAATTCCCCTCATCCACCTGAAGGATTTCCTCCTTCTTCAGCCTGAAGTAAACTGGCAGGAAACCCTAAGTCCACACTACTACTGGCTGTTTAACAAACCCGAGAATTTGAGGGGAGTTTGGCCTTTTTGGACTGGTCTCCTTCATCTCCAGCTTGATTCCCCAAAGCAGAATTTGCCTTTTGCTGTTTTCCATCATATTAAATGAAGTAATTTTGAGTTTTGTTTGCTTGTTTGGGGTTTTTTTTGAATGGTAGCTGTCAATAGACTCTGATACTCATGGGCAAAGAGGCTGTATCCCTTCTCAGAGGTCACTCTCACAAGGATGGAGTATTTGCTAATGCCTCTGGATATTAATTATTCACACTGAACACAGCAGCTCTGAAGAGTTGGAAATAATTTTTTTTTCAATAAGGGAACCTCTCATCATTGTAATACAGATGTCTGTGTCAGATACCAGACCTAAACCAGACTGAAAT